AAAATGGAGAGTGCAATTCAAACTGAATATAAGCTTTAAAAACACAATTACATAATTTATGTGGCAGTGCCATTTCTCACAGGAACTGCTTACTCAACTGAGGTGGCAGGTACAGTAAAGGTCAATGACAGTTGTGGAAGTAAACAGGATGTAATAGTTTGAACAAAACAGGAAAATGAATCATAGAAAGGAAGTCTCATATATACTACTTCCTTCAGCACAAAGCCTTGACACCTCCCTCCAATTTATTGTACCGTTACAAATACTTAGTCTCTCAAGTTGTATAACTAGGAGTTGTAAGACTAAGATCAAGCTGGTTCTTTTATCCAAGTTTATAATTGATGACTTCTGCTACAAATACAAACCACTTTATGAATTGCTAGTTTTTAATGTTTATTTCTCCCTTACAGATTTTCTTTGTTTTTGCCTGGAATTTTTCCCAACAAATTTTCTGACCTATATTTCAATCCTTGAACATTAACAGGTCCACATAGCCACTTCTAAAAGTGGCATATTAAACGCTCATCCTACTGTTCTTTTTAAATCGCATTTAAATACTACAACTTACAAGAACATGCATGAAGATTTAACAGGTGTAGTACATGGCTACTGGCTCTTAACCAACATAGACCACGTGGCTAAAGTTAAAATTATCATGTATATAACGGGTCAACAATAATTGGGCTTGAATAAATTAAAAATCAGAAAGTGAGCCACTGAAGAAGTCATTAGTCATTTTTAAAATACACTTCAAATATATTTAAAGATTTCATTATGAGCTGCCAAGGAGTACTTCAGGAAGTGCAGTTAAACTGTATATGCTTGAATAAGTACAAACAATGCTCACAGCATACAGTAGTTGTGATTGTAAGATTTGATCAGTTCTTATTTATGTGCAAATTAACACACTGCAGTAAACAATCCTTTCTCTGGTGACTTGCTAGAGGAATTGTTGTGACAATTGTCCCACCACTCATGTTTTTTGTCAAATATCTCAGGATGGTCACTACCTCCAGGAAAACATCCGCACATTAAATTATTTCTCTGTCAAAGCGTAAACTACATGCTAGCATTCCAGTCTTTGTTTTCCTTCACATTCTTATTACAGGGGACTTCCTTTCAACAGTACTAATCTCATCCTTTTGTTTTGTGTATTTTTGTGATTTTAAATGACCATCTATTTTTATCTAATCAATGCAGGCCAACTGATAAATGACAAGTTTAGTAAAATAAGTTATACCCTACATACTGTGTATGTACAATAAACTAAGTGGACACATTCACTCATTTACTCAAGCATTTTCATACTTTGCATGGACAATTTGGACCATTAAGCACCACTATATTTGAATGGATACGCTGAATAATTATATACTGCAATTTACACCAAAATAAGCAAACTATTTTTTTAAGGATGAAGACAGAAATATTATAAATTCCAATAAAATACCAGATTTAAATTGCATGCACAATGGAGTTGTTTTCACTTAAATTGCTAATAGTGTGTGTAAACATAAAAACAATTTTTAGTTATATAAAATAAAAAATCATTATTGTGCAACCCACAATCACCAACTCTCCACAAGAGGGAGCCATTGTATTGAAAACACAAAATCCGGTTTGTGTAATAGCAAAATAAAGCCTCCTTTATCAACGTTAATTAGAATTTCATTAGAAGTAACACTGAACACAAACAACAGTATTTGAGCTCCTCAGACTGAAATGAGCCCCCCAGTTTCTGCTTTATGAAATATACAAGAAAATGGAGCCTCCGATCACAAAAGTAGGTGTTACAGCCAGCCACATTAGGCAAATCATCAGCTAATACAAATTACAATTAACAGTTTTACAATGCTTGAGCTTTTATAGATTATGTTGTTCTATTGCGAAATAAAAAAATTCACTTTAAAAAGTATATGCAAAATTTCAAAACAATGAGCAGAAACAATCACAATAACGCATAAAAGGACCTTAGCAATTTTGCATACTTAAATGCCAATTAGTCTATGCACAGTGTCTTGCATAAGTATTCACCATCTTCCAGTGATGTCTCATTATTGCAAGGCTTGAGCAGGTTTGCAAAGAATGAGTGAAAGATATACAATCCCAGTGTGCAGTTTGTAGAGGTATGCAAAAAGATTCATAATTGTAGCCAAAAGGTAACAATTTGGGGATGAAAATACATTAAACTATCATGTTTTCTGACTTTCTTTGCTGACCTCTACTGCGCATAAAAGCGTTCATTTTTTAGAATTCAAGTTTGGATTAAAAATATTTACTTACAAAATACACATATTTGTAATCAACAAAATGGTAAAATGGGACATCATTAGAAGGAGATGAATACTTTTGAAAGGCACTGTATGCACATATACATAATAAGAAACCCATTAGCACAAACTGAGTTATGGAGGACTCTGCTATGTAGCTTAACTATTTCATCTAGAAGAGGATGTGAAAACAATAGCATTTTATTTTGTGTGGTTACCAGTGTTAGATGGATACTGCAGATGCATAACAGTTTCCTGTTAACATACACAAGGCATGAGCTGAAGTGCAAAATGTAAAATTTTAAATGCTTTTACATTTCCTGTATAGCTTAACTGTGACAAGATTCACAAAAAATGACTGCACCAGTGTACAAGAAAACAGCTCATTTCACCATGTCTCGAAAGCAATCCCATTAATAAACTGCATTTTTACTATTCTTAATAAAAAAAATAGCTTGATACAACAAATCTTTGACACTTGAGTTATGTATGGTCTTTCGCCATTTTCAAAATGGTACTGCTAAGGTTGTTTTCACTGCTAACCTTGGCTTAATATGGAAAACTACAAGCAATTTTGATCCTGCCATCATTAGAGAGTAAAGGTCAGATGTTGCTATTTATCAATCACTAATCTTACAGAAATGTCTCTCTGCTACAGTATCGGTTATAAGTGTTTCAGTTTTATAAAGATATGCAAATAACGAATGATAATTGCACTTCCTAACATAGCATTTTTAAATATTCAGAAAATACGTAGTGGAGAGAATTTGCCAGGTCTGCAGCTCATAATAAAACCTTCACCAGACTCTGTGAATAATTTGTCCTTCACAGTACACTCTGTACAGTCTCATGTTCAGTATACAGAACTGCAAGAATGTGTGAAGAATTCAGACAGTTCCATTTTTAGTGCGGGTAAGCATGTGGTAGAGTGAAAGTGACAAAAGACTACTTCTCTGTTCAACCTTTTTGTTTAATGCCCTTTTTCTTCCTATTTGTGGCAGATGCGTGTGCTTCTTGCTCACACTGTGGTAAATAAAATACAGTAGGGTGTTGACATTCATGAAGGTTCAGCGAAGAGAACGTTTGTGAATAGCATAAACCAAGTCCACCTCTATACCGTTGCATAAAGTACTACAGTATATAGTAGGTAGGTTAAACAACATACATAGCCCTCCCTTATTTGATAATTAAAGTATTAATGCAGTGGCTTGAAGTTATTTTAAAAAACACTGATCAACTAAAAGAAACAACATTAATCACTAAGTTATAGTAATCTGTTAAAATAACATGAGTCCCTCTATCTTTCTGCCTCTGTGATTAGTATGCCCCACTGTAGTGAAATAGGCAATAAAACTGTCTGTGAGACTGTAAATCTTGTCGTTCTCCACTCTGGCAAGAAGTGTCTGTTATAACACAAAAACAAGACCAAGCTGAGATGCGGATGCTGGATAGTAGGTACTTGGGCAGGGGGCTGAAAAAGGTTCACTAAATAACAAGATCCATCAATCACTAATTTGAAAGGTTAACCTTCTGTTTGGTTTTATCCAAGCCCCTGTTGGCCAGACCAAATCAGGTAGAAGTGAATTTGCAAATGTTAAATGCATAGATGTTGAGACTCTGCTGGATCTTTAAGATATTTTGCTTGCCAAGCAAACAAAACTGCAAATTATTGAAGAAATAAAAAAAAAAGGCTTCCAATAAGAATGTTTGTCTGACACTAACTGAATGTGCATGGCCATAACCAGGATAAAAATCCCATAAACATGACTATTTTTTCTATTTTCATCTCATTCTATACATGAAATATGTAGACACATGCAAATTCAGACAGACCTAACCGTGTTGAAAATGTTAAGTGGGAAGCAACATTGTAAAGGTCCGTGCTGACCAAAACAACTGATATTCAGCTAGCTGTAACCCACACAAAATCTCCACCATGCTGTTGAGATACGCATGGTGAAAAGCAGCAAATCAAGATTTATCACTGTGGCGAATATCTGAGAACATTCGAGATCCCCAGTTGCCAGGCCACTGTCTTACAAGACGGCTAAACTGCATAGTGACAACATCACACTCAAGACTGTTCCATTTATTTACAAGGTACATTGAGGAGCAGTCTCTTTCACAATACTAGAGAACATCATCTTATCATACTATTCATCATACTTTTTTGCCATGGCATTTAATAGGCACACATGGCATTTGACACCATTCATCGTTATTCATGTCCAATGAAAAACATTAACCTACTGAGCGCACCTTAAATAATGTAACAAAATGTGACTTGTTTTAATTTCATCAGACCAGTTTTGGGGTTAGAGAAATAAATCAACTTGACAGGATAAAATTAACAATTTACAAAACTATACAAGAGATATCCAATTACACATACACACAACCTGTGCATTCCAGAGTCCTACTTCCTATAAGCCTAGAAGCCCAGAATTCTACACCTATAATCCAAATACACAATTAAAAAAACTTAATAAAAAGAAAGCCTTTATTCTAACAAAAATAGTTATTATTCAATTAACTCCCTACTACATAGATACCCAAAAGTGAGAGGAAATTAATTATCTATACATAACCATTTTATAATGTAATACAAATTCATATTGCTCCCATTTATTTTCTGATTTTTTTTTGACAAGCATTGACATTTTTCTGGGATCGCAGTATCTTTTTTTTAATTTACTATATAGTAAAGTACTATAATTTTCAAAATGTTACCTTTTTCCACTTACTGGAGAAGGACTTGCGTTAAGGTCTTGGTTAGTTTTATAACATGGGCTTGTCCTTTCTTTCTGTAAAAGAAAAAAAATATTAGCTTAGATATATACATGTCCATTTTCTATGGGTATGATGCACATCTTGTGGCCACATTTATAAATCAGCAGGAATGAGAATTTAATCATCTTTATTCATTCCCAGGTAAAAGCATTAACCTACTGAAGTTGAATGAACCTTAAATGTATTAAAATGTGAGTATTTACTTACCATTTCTGTGGTTAGAGAAAAATAAATCTGTTTATAATCAACTGCATATGCTGGATATTTTATAGCACATACAATTACATAGGGCAATTTCTGTGTAATGTTGCTTAATGTACTCTTTTGCTTTTATCTTTCAAATTTGAAATGTACAAGAGCTGATTTGAACTCTACAAAATCTTTGAAGAAAGAAAATATTAACTCAGATGGTTCAATCAGTGGGCCACTGGATAATGTTAAAAAACAGAAGACCAAAATGACTAAGAATTGGGTTAACCCAAGACAGGTCACAATAATAATAACAGCAATATCTAGAATAATATTGAGCAAATTAATGTATTTTAACCCTAATATATAAATACATTGCATTAATGTGCACACTTTGCATTTCTGTTCTTGAGCGATGAGTTGAAGTGCTGCCGACATTTTGGCTTAATTGGAAAAGAAATTCTCCTTACCAATTAGATACATTTATTTATATCCATGACTCAAAATTATAACCTAGATCTCTAAGATTATGAAGGTCATTTCTTGCTTACTAACATTTAGTTTTCTCAATTTGTTTAATTAAATCGATTTAAAAAAAGCGCCAAAGGAAGAGAACAATGTTGACTTTCTGTGTTCTAAATGTTAAGATTTTTCTTAATGATAAAAGTATCACTTACAGTATGTTTATTTACGCCTGTTTAAATATCAAAATCTGACACAAAGTCATTAAGTTTCCTCCATTGTTACTAGTAAAAATTCATAAATAATATGAACAGACAAGTCAGCGTGGAGGGTAATCTTTTTGAAGCCATACATTATCACCCAGGCGTCTGCATGTACTGTATATAAACTAATAATGTTACGAAATACAGGAATCTAAAATGTTGATTACATTCAAGAACAAATTTTATACTTACAAGTTAGTAATCTTGCTTTAATCATTTGGCATTACTTATGGAATAGTAGACAGCTCTTTCTAGTTTGCTTTGCAATTATGTATGCTGCACCTCCCTCTCAAACTAAATGAAACAGAAATAAATGACATTCTGAAATGAATAACACTGCCATTTTATAATGGGAAGTGTATTGAGGAAGCAAATTAACCTGACAACATGATTTAAGTTCAAATTGGTAAAGAATTATGGCACATTAGCAATACTATGCACTTCCTCAAATTTAATCTTTTGATCGGAAAGGTCAAAGGAATAAAAGTTATATGAAGTCTGATGGCCCAGGCTGCTTGAATTTAGCTAGAACTTCCCCACATTTAAAGGAAAAACAAGTTGTTTCTAGAAGCAGCTCTCATAACTAAGCAGGTGATGCTTGTCTGACTGGACTGTTATGACTGGGGGGGGCACTAAATCATTTACAGACTAATTCATAAAGGTGTAGTACCCACTGGTAAGAACTAAATTTAGTGTAAATGTCCATCAGGTATTTCAGGAAACGCAACATTTCTAAGATTGATATTTGGAAAAATGTAACCAAAGAACAAGGTTATGGTCCTAGAGGGTGATGGGAACATTATACAAACAGCTGTAATCCAATGGGACAAATCTCATGGGTATTACAAATAATTATTGAATCCTTAATTATATAAAGATGAAGATCATTGTGCTGAAACAACTGTACTGTTAACGCTTCCATTCCAGTATAAAACTAATGATGGAATATCTTCATTGGACAGGAAAACAGCAAGTGTCCTTCTTTATCAATCTTCAAGAAGGATTAGCCTCAGTCTTGCCCAGGAGTTAAAAACAGGCAAAACATTTCCTGGGTTCAGACTGCCCAGCAATAGCCAGACTTCTACACAATTCTGTTTCACAATGACAACTGTCAGTTTTGTGATCCATTCCTTTAACTGTTGTGAAAGCCATGCTCTTAAGTTCAGTGAAAGGTTAGGAGAGAAAGAAGTTCAATGAACCATAAAACTGAAGCAATCCCATGAGAATATGAGACAGGAAGGAAGCGTAGATATAGCAAAATTTCACTTTCAGATGCAAATAAACAGTAATCTTCCTTTCACCAAAAACGAAAGCCATACCAATTGCTTGGCACCATATTGTTTAAACAAATACTGCTCATCACTTGGCCTTTTTAACCACAAATCCACAGTTCCACAGTGAGGTACACCTGAAAGACTACAAAGGACACTAAGCTTTACCTAATGCCTAAATTTAACCATTAGATAAATAACTACTAGCATAGAGATGGTATTCAGCTTTCTGCACTTACAAATACTCTCCTTCTAATACTACCAAACATTAAGCCATGAAAGTACCGAGTCAAGATCTCTGAAAAAAGCAACATAAATGTGATGAAAGCATTGTGATTGGGGCAAGACATCATTAGGCAGTAACCTTAAAATGCGAATCTGAAAAAGCAAACATTGCCCAGGAATTCATTCAGAAAATAACTTAAAAATAGTTAAATGCTGAAGTATTGCCAACACCTGTATACTGTATTATCATGATGACTGCAACAGTCAGTTTAATCCTAAATTATGGAAAGTGTGCAGTAGCGTTGTAAAGAAAGGTAGATTTTTCAGTATACATAAAAATAGTTAAAATATGCAAATTACCTTCACAGATTCCAAGATGCATTTCTAGCTAGAAATTACATTTCTGTGTCTTGCAAGTGATCCTCAATACAGTGGATTTAGTTTAGATTCTGGTTGAAATTTAAAAATGTCCAAATATGCACAGGTTACAAAGATCCGATGGTTCTTTTGATAATGATCTAACTGTACAAGCTGGTTCTTCAACTTTACAATATCAGAAGTATGAACTGCAGACAAATTCCCCTTAAAAATGAAAAGATTGAATGTAGAATAGCACTGATTTTACACGATATTGGACTATGGGAGAGAGGTCTTGTGAAGTTGGCCGATAGAAATTTCTCGACAGTATTAATATTGGCGGAAATATTAATCGTATCGCAATACAACCCAAGTTATCAGAGAGGCCGGGCCAATCTTTAAAATAGGATCGTGCATTGATATTATCTCCAGTATACTTCAGGATTTGCTTATCTGGGCACCACTTCTTAACGTAGCATGGGAATGACCAGAAACATTGCCAATGCAACCAAAGCGAAAAGAGGGAAAATGATCCAGTAAACCTCTTGATTTAATTATAATCGAGTTTGTCTAGGAAAAAAAAATGTAGTCTGAACAACTCCAGAACAGACGAGAAGTCACAGTGGATAAGCCAATGCCCTCAAAGGGATATTTAATCAAACACTGATGTTTAAACCCCAAAATATACTTTAGGTGAATGCATCTCAATTCATACAGTTAAATGAAATCATTCTGTTGAACATGTTTTTCATGTTGAACATATGATCAAATATGCCAAGGTAGTAATCCAAAAATAAATATTACATTTCACTTTTTCCTATTAACATCATGATCACACATACAAATTCCTAGAATATACAGTAAAAATAAGTTTGGACTTTTGGAAGGCACTGTTTAGTTTTCCTCAGTTCTACTAGTAGTGTTTTCTAGACATCAAAACATACTTTATAAGGGGATTTATTTTAACAAAGCTAAAATGATGAAAATAATAAAAGCAAATACATTTCTAACCTTCATAACATAGGCACCAAATGCTGCCAGTCTTTCCTTAAATCTTCATAACAATATTGCGTCACGTCTAACAACGAATACAGAGGCCTATATTTAATTGCATTGCCCACCCTTAGTTTCAAGAGCTACCCTGAACAGTCTGTGAGAATACTGTTGATTCCTCAGACTCCTAGCATACAGCAGCAGTTTCTGAGATTTATACAACTGCAGCTTCTTTAGTACATAACTGTCACTACCTCATGCAGCTAATGATGCACACTAAGTGCATTCAACATGCATAATATTAAATAGCCTACAGGCATAATAGCCTATAGGCTCTTCTGAACAGTTTATCCAATGCAGGGATTGTGGAGGAGTCAGAGCCTATCCTGGAAAGTAACAGGTGCAAGTCAGAATACACCCCAGATGGATGCCAGCACAGTGTACACACACAGACACACAAATGGGGTAATCTTACGAGAATCTCTTACCAAAACCAGAACTGAGGGAGAAAAGCGGAACACCTGAAGGAAACCCACACAAATACAGGGAGAACATATAAACTCCCCAAATACTATGGAATATATGAAAAAGAATATTAAATGTTTTCCTCTTTTGTGCAAACTGTTATAAACTGGAAGAAATTATCATAGACCTTCAGCAACACACAGCATACTTTAAAAACAACATACAGTATATGTATTTTAATCAACAGAATGGACATGTTTTGCTCTATTCTTACTTTCTGTATATTACTGTACTATGAATGAAGGAAATTGCCTACATGTTTTCTTTATTCTAGTATGAACAAAAAAGCTTTAAAAGCCATCTTATATAGTATCAGATTAGATCTTTGCTACAAAAAAATTCAAAATTATCAATGATTATGGAAATGACATTATGATTTAGCAAATGAACCACAGATGTCTTTCACTAGGTGTTATGACTGAGGGAGATAACTACAATTATCTAATAATGGAGACCAAGGGCAAAAAAGTGGCAATCCACTTCCAGATGAACTAAGTGATATTACAGTAGTATATTCCAAAGGCTAAATACATCAGTTGTTGGCAGAATGCTATGCAATACCTCATGTAATTCTTTTAATAATTTTCAAACATGCACAGCACAACAACAGAACCCCCTAAATTGAAACCAGCTCAGCCCTGTAATAGTAAGCTTTACCTTGCATAACATACTTTGTTACACTGCACACAAACACAACTGCTTTTACCTGTAAGGATTACAAGGTGGTAA